TAACGATATTTATAACTAAATTTTTTAAACTTTTCTACACCATTTTTACAGTTTTGCTAATAAACGTACAGTTTACCGCATAATTCTATCAATCTTTGTTGTAGAGATATTTAATTTTAAAATCAGGGCTTATTTGCTGATCACCCTGTGAATGGTAGTGCATTACATAAAATGGATAAATGCATTGCATAAATGTTCAGTTTTCCATAATTTTATTAAATTAAAAGGTGAAATTTTCGTACAAATTAACGGAATTTCCATGGTCGCTAGTTATTCAAATGCTATATGCAAGTTTTACCTTCTATACAAGAATGCAATTTTATGAAAGATCAAATAGATAAATTTAATCTTACTTTTAGATACATGGATGACCTCATCACTTTCAATAATTCTAGGTCAATTAGAACAACTATTATTTATCCTAAATCTTAATAAAACCATTTCCAATAATAATGAAATTGGTATTACAAATATGATTAAAATTACCTTAAAATTATCAATTAAAACTTTTTAATAAAAATAAAATGTTTGTCAAAAAAAGGCTTTTTATTATTCCTACCATTAAACTCGTAGATTGGAATCTCAGTAAGTTTAAAAAGTTATAACTAACACCATTGTCAATCAGATTCTAAGATTCTATTCCAGTCCTAATACGTAGAGTAATAGTAATAAGTAGAGAATTTTCACTGTAAACTTTCCTTTTTTTTCTTTTGAAAATTTTTTTTCTGCTCCCCATTACCCATATTACTCAAAGTTACTTTTTACATACACTTTTAAATTTAGATTTCTTTCCCAACTTTAGCGCTCTTAAAAACTATATTTTTAAAATTTATTTAATTATAAGAAATCTACGCAAATTTAATTTCCAATTTTAAACTAATAATTCAGTCTTCAAAATTTTCTTGCATTTGATTATTTCCATTTACTATAGTTTCCCAGCTGCAGCTCAACTTGACTCTTGGACTTGACTTGACAACTTGACTTCGGATTTTATTTTCTTTTATTGTGTTTCTCAAATTCCATTCATGTTAATTAATTTGAATTAATTAATTCAGTTTTATTTTATTTTTTCTAATTTCAGGCATATTGTTTTTTATTTTACTTTTCCTTAGTTATACGCTTTCCATTTTTATGTAGTTTTATTCTCCAATTTGGAAACATTTTTGCTTTATTCTAAATTCTTACTTATTTTACTTTTTTAATTAATTTTGTAACAGTTCTGCCTTTTTTTTTTGTTCAAAATTTAATTAATTTTTGCTTAGAATTTTGGTCTTAATTTACCCAGTAATCTTTTTATTATCTTATAGATAGAGAGCAGATAGAGAGAGAGAGCACATTGATTTTGCAATTTTTTGCTCGAAAATATAACTGATTATTTTAACTACTTTTGATTTATCCTTGTTTCTTACTCAAGGATTCTTTTCTTCAAATGTTTATAATTTTTATTTTGGGGTCAGTCGGAGCAAATTATGTCTTGACGATTAATTAAATTAAAATGTTTACAAAAGAATTAGTCTCGCCCTTTTAAAGCACTTTAATTTTAGCAAAATTACCTTAATTAACATTTTCTTCTAATTTTATTAATTGCTATTTTTGTATTCTTTTCTAAATTTTCCGTTATTAAAAATTATCTAGATATAACTCAGAAATATAGATCTGTTGAAAATTCTTCCTCTGTTCCTTGAAAAAGACCAAAGGATTTTCAAAAGTTTTGTATATTTTATACCTGTTATAATAATTTTATTGAATTGATTTTCAGTTTTAAAATAGTTAAGTTTCTGAGTAAGTTTTGGTATGTGTATCTCCTGCTAAATGCTTTTCACATTTCAATATTTAATTTTGATTTAGCGATTATCGCTTGTTTTATTAATTAATTTCGAAGCATAATGGTCGACTTTATATATCAACTTTACTTGAAATTTATCAACTTATATATATAAATATAATACATATGCAAGACACAATTTATATTTGTTTATTCTTCTCAATCACACGTAATCTTTATGGATGCGTCGTGCACCCCACAGTTCTGTAAAGCTTACACCTTTTTACACAAAGGACAAGGCGGCGCAGCAAACTAGGCAGCAGGAGAAACAGGAAAAGAGGGGCTGAGCAAACAGTAACAGCGGTATTTAAAAGACTTGGGGCTTTTGTTTAAATTTTGAACTGCGATTGTATGAGAGCCATCCGCAATGCAGGAAGTTACATAAGCAAGCATGTAACGAAAAGACGCGTCTAGCAAAATTATTCTAAACAATTTAGAACATAAAGGGGTGATGCACAGATTAAAATGATGAACTAGGGACTATTGCTGATTTAAATTATAATTTTGAGTAACAGATTTTCTTTTTTATCTTACATATATAATATATTTATTTTTATAATTTTTTGTAAAAAAATACCTTTTAAACATAAAACGTATTTTATTAATGCATAGGTGCACAGGGCGTTTACAAAATGTTAGGACTAAGTTTGTACAAAATTCAAAGCAAGTAGCATTTTTCACAATCTTTAATATAGAATCCTTGTAATTTTATACAGCTCTTGATTACATACAGGCTACTTGATTTCTTTGCAGTTTGAAATCTTATTTAAATCCTGGTTACGGTTTTCACAATCTTCAGTATTACTAAAGTAATGAGATTTGAGATGAGAAGAAAAAGCAGTCTTAAGTTGCTAAATCTGTTGAATAAAGAAAGCATATGCTTCCAATTATAAAAATGTTTGAAATGAAACAAATTTTCATGATTTGGCACTTTTAAGTTCAAAACGTCAGTTTGTAAAAGCCTTCTCTCGATCTCTGTACTCATGTTTAGTAAAGTACTGCTACATGAGATAAACATACATGTAAGTTTATCTATTATGAATCAGTATGTTTATCTAATATGTGTATCAATTATCCTTCGTCTCGTGTATATAAGTAAGTATGAACAAAAGTTTTAATGTACGAAGCAACCAGCTCTTGTATGGCAATATTCAACCTTTCTGTTTTAGGGCGTTATTCTGGATAATTGCGGGATTCGGACAATACCCGAAAAGTCTGTGTAAAAGCCGCCCTGGTGTCCGGATCCTGCTCTTAATTGTCAATTCTAATTTTGAACTAGCTTTGAGGGCTTGGTTAATGAATAAATTAGAATTCTTCGGGGTCCACAAATCGCAAAATTTCAAATTAAAGAACTCGTTCAGTTTTTGTCGTTCGGTAAGCAAACATTATGTGCTGTATTTTTTACTAGTGAAGTTAGACTGAGAGTAATGTGTCTAATAACAGAGAGAAGGACAGCGCCTTTTCTAATAACGATGCAAAAAATACGTTTCATACTCATACATTTTTCAATCTGATGCGATATGGAACCCCATAAAAAATTTCGTTAGAAAAATAAGCTTATTCTGTCTCATTTTATCAGTAACAATGACACGCAGTTTTTAACGATTTTTGTCTTTCCAACGGTCGTAAAAGCTCAAGTTCCATCCGATATTTCACTTATATTCAATTTCAGTCCATTAAATGTGGCAAACAATTCATCAGAATTGATCAGAAATCATTAACGCGAACAAACAGACACACAAACAGGCATTCTTCTTCGTATATATATATAGATTTTGTAAAACTTAATTTTTAATTAACAAACTCTAACGATTTGAAAGTCGGCAGTAGCAAAATATTTTTAAAATAAAGCATTTTTATCTCCAACACGCGAGACTATTGCCACTCGGAAAAATGAGTGCGAAAAGTAGTACTTTCAGAGTTTTTAATTACTATTTCGGCTGATTAAAGTCGTACGAAGATGGGAATAGTCAAAATGGCTTCCCGCGAATTTTTGGAATCGGGAATAATATACTTAATGTTTGGGAAGGCTTTTTTTATTTCTTTGTAAAACATAGAAATTTTTATTAACAAACTTTACGATTTGAAAGCGAGCGGTGGCAACACTTCTCGAAATGAAGCAGATTTTTATCTCCAGCGTGCGAGATTATTGCCACTCCGAAAAATGAGGGCGAAAATTAGCGTTTTCATAAATTTTTAGTTAGGCTTTTTTTTTTTAGTCCAAAGGGATTTGAATCCCGAAGGACTATTAGTTTCGTTTTGGCATTTTGCGTCGGACGGATAAATGTCGGTTCACTTTTCAAACTGTTGCCATAAAATGTTAGAGTCCTGCATTATATTTGAAAAAATTAAATAATGAAAATCTGCGTAAATGTATGTATATTTCTCACATTGTCATAAAATAACGGTACATAGTCATCGAATTTTGAATAACGTAATCCTCCAACGAATATGAGCATGTGGAAGACCAAATTTGAAATTTGAAATTTGTTTTATGATCGATTTCCTATTTTTTAAAACTTTGACGAATTTTTGATTAACAAACTCAAGGATTTCAAAGCGAGCAATGGCAACGTTGTGCAGAAAAAACATTTTTATCTCCAGCGCGTGAGTCTCTGTATCGGAAATTCTAAAGATATGCTCGTTTTAAAACTATTTTGCGATATTGCTGTTGCACTGGATCTTATGGTTTAAGTGCGAGGAACATGATATTTAATAAAGAAAGGTAACACACAAAATGTTAAAAAACGCCCCTTTGGACGTAATTTAAAATCTGAAACATTTCAGATTTTTTTTTTTCTTTTGACTTTGAACTTGTCCGACGTCGAAGTATGGGGACTGATAGAACATATAAATAGTTATGTTTTATACAAAATTATTTATTTTTTAATTTAAAATCACAGAAACCGAAATCTTTATCGCATTTGAAATATTTTTGTAACTAGAAATGTATGTGTACGACCAACGGCCGAGTAAGGACTCGACCACATGATGGTCGAGTAAGGACTTTTGTGGTCATCATGTATACCAGTGAAATCGACAGTTTATATCTTGAATAACTTTCTTAAATGTTAACTGATTTTTGGATTATACTACAGAAATGTGTATAAAAGATAGTAAATTATTTGAAAGTGTTTCGATTTATATTTTTATCTGATTTTATATTTCATTTCAGTTGCTGCTCATTTTAAGAGTAAATTTCGGGCAGAAAGTGTTCGTAAAGGGGAGGACGCTAGGCTAGTTTGTGAAGCAATTGGTGATCGCCCCCTCCAGATAACGTGGCTGAAAGATAAACAGACCTTTGAACCCCAAATGGACCTCAGGTAAATAAACAATGATTAGTAACATTTAAAAGAAACGCCAATGGATTATTTGATAACATTCTTACGAATCATTTCCTGAGAATATTTTTAATTATTTTTTACCAGATTTGTAACTATTTGTTTGAAATACTATGTTTGCAAATTACATGAACACAGTGTTTGTGATATTTTATAAAACACAAATGCTAACTGCTATTTAGTGTAACTTTTATCATGTTAGTTTATTAGACTGATTCGAGAATATTTGTTTAAAAACGCATATAAAAAGTTTGCGAAAGATCGGAAACGATTCAGTTTTAGTCTATATATGAAAGTGTTCTGGTGACAGCGTTTTAGCATTTTTGAGTCATTTCTTGCGAAATAACTTCCATATTCGGCGCATAGTAGAGACACTGTTTCTGCTATGGTCCACCTTCTAATATTTTGGATTACTGCTAAGTAACATTAAACATGTCGGAACTTCGAACTCACATTTTCAACTTATATTTACTTTACAATGAAGAGTTAACTCACATGATACGCAAATATGAAATGTTTAAGTATGTGAATTTTCGTTATTCGAATAAACAATAACACTTTAAGTATATTACATTTTCGAAAATCTAATTATGGGCTAAATGCATATCTTCATAAATCTCGTGATTTCATACCAGTGTATTATATTTTTTTTCAATAACGAATAACTTGTAATGTAAATTACAATAAATAACCTATGGGGTTGATTTTAATGTAAAAGCACTTAAAACATTTCAAAAATGAATATTAAACTCTTTTAGTAAATAGCACTCCCGAAATAGTTTCTCCACGCTTAATTTTAATAATATGTAATGTAAATAATGTGTTATTTCTTATTTTTATTACTGTGCTTCGAGTGCGATTTGCAATTATAACGTAAGTTATTTTTAAGAATAAACTTTCTCCACTTAGCTTGGTAAATGCTTTTATCAATTCTAATGCCTCATTTCCAAAAAAAAAAAATATTCAGGCTTAAATAATGACTTTTCCATACAGAACAGCATTATCACAATACACATGTAACTCGCATTTTTAAGGTTTAGGATAGGTTATTTGAACGCGGCAAAACACACGAGGACTACGAGAAGTGATAGCGTTTGTGGAGGACTGAGGAAACTGGCTCTTGTTCTCGTTACACATGGAATGAACCAAGAACACCAAACATACAGCCAGTCCGGTTGACTTGATTAGGTTAGGTTAACTTATTAAGGCGGAACAACTCGAGAGCTATTTGCCTATAAGGAGAGTTGCCATCGTGGAGGAGTTTCAAGGGAAACTTATACATGTGAAAACCGCAAAAACCGACTATGCAGCCAGCCCGTGCGCTGGGATTCGATCCCATGGTAAACTACCAGTTTTCAGCAACTTTACCGTTCGGCTGCTGGTGAGCCCCACGTTTGCTTTGAATCGAATCGAAATCGCAGTCTCAGTATTCAACGGTTTTAACCCTTTAACTTCAGAAGCATTAATACAGGTCTCAGTTGTTTTATATCAAATGCTTTTATGTTAGGAAAATCTTATTCAATTTAAGCTACGGCTCCCCAGTGGCAGAGTGGTGAACTTTAGTAGTTCCGACCTGGGTTCAATTCCAGGAGAATGGGCTGGCTGCAGGGCGTTTTGTGATTTTACTTATGTGTAATATGTACACAAGCCAGTTTCCCTCGGAAAGTCCTCCACGAAAGTGTCCCTTCCCTTAAGCAAATAGCCTTAATGAGCTTTATCAAGCCAAACAAACCAAACGGTTTAAGCTACAGAGAATGAGTCATAATTTTCTTTTAATTTTCACTTTGCAATAAAGCTGCTACAAAAAGGCATTAATGCTCCACTAAATTGGATATTCCGTTAAAGCTAGAAATCAAGAATTTCAACTTCGAGATATATACATTTTACGCAGAAAAAATATTAAATGAAAATATGGAATCTGATAAATTTAATTGAATTATGCAAGAGTTACATTATACTTAATATATCATATGAAAAAATATCACAAATAAGAAAGCTCTGTAGAATATCCATCAACGATTCACAACTGTATTGTAAGAATTGCTGAATTGGAGTTTTCTGGTTCTCATAAAAATATATTTTGATATGTAAATATAAAAATTTTATATATATATATTACATATAAAATTTTATATAAATATAAAAATATATTTAATATCATTTCCTAGATTTGAGGTGAAGTATTTAGATTTGTGGAGCACAGTTTATACAGCATTTCCTTTTTACTTCCTTGTAGGAAGTAAAAGATGTATTGTAATCACAAAACATTTCATGTGTCATATTTCATAGAAAATATCTATTTCGACCGCTCTCGAAATTATTTGAACGATGGTTTTGCGTTACATCTCTACGTACGGACGGAATAAGGAACTGTTTTTGTCCAAACGGATTGTAACGTGGATTTAAAATGGATTCAGAAGAGATTTTTTCTTGATGTCTGTACATGCGTATGCTGATACATACTACCTTCGTATGTATGTATCTCGCGTAACTCAAGAACGAGTAGTCGTAGAAAGCTGAAATTTTGTATATGGGACTGCTATAACATGCAGTTGTGCGACTCCCTTTTTAGTTCCAGTCGGCTGCACCAATCGCATATAAATAATACATATATTATATATATATGTGTGTGTGTGTGTGTGTGTTGAATGATCTAAAATTCACTTACTTCCAAAGCATTCAAGTTACTTTAAAGCACAATTTTCGGAATTAAATTTCCTACATATGGGTTCCCTCTTTTTTGATACTTCTACTAAATTATATTAGGAGATCATATAATCAATATTTCTTCAGGAAATAAATTATATATATATATAAGATATAAAAAAATACGATAGCTGTTTTTAAAATAATTGGCCACCTCAAAATTAACATTTCCGATTTAGTGCTCTCCATCCTAAATTCATCTGTTTTCCCAAATTCGAGAATCTTCTATGTACTTAAGTTATGCAACAACGGCAAATTAACCAATCACAGACTAGCTCTACTTATACCTCAGATTTAGTATAAATACTGCTGGCGAATTAATTGCGTTTCTCAAATGCCTACGACTTAGGATTAAAAAGCCAATATACATTAGAAATTTATCATATTTAATTATGATTACCAACATAAATAGAAATTTATCATATTTAATTTTGATTACTAAATAGAAATTTATCATATTTAATTATGATTGAATAAGTACCTGCCAAATTTATTTGTTATGTGCGAAAATAAAGATTGGTAATTTAAAGAAATCCAAGTCGTTATCTTCATTTATATGCCTTACCCACAGCCATTACGGATATTGAAAGCTATTAAGAGTTCCAGGCTTTGACTGCGCATTCAAAATCATTACACACACACGCATATATATATTCACATTCTGTTATCTGGCTCGATGTGCTTAGTTCTTTTATTCTTATATGCTAGTAAATTGTGCATTTTTTGCTTTTAAAGTGATTGAATTATGTTATTTTTATGTTCTGGTTAAGGTTTTTATTCCTTTAGCTAATCTGCATGCAATAGTTGTAGAATTATCAACAATTTAAAAGTGGCGATTTAAGCCTAACGAACCATCTTTTTGCGTAGAAACATTACTTTTAATTGTAAAAAATGCTTTTTTTAACTGTGTTTGATGTTTTATATTTTCCTGTATTTTACAATTTTTAATGAAGATATTTTAAGATTTTATGTATTTTTCCTTTGCCGGGAAGCGAGAACTGAGTTAATTGAATGAGAAATATATGTAATGAAATTCGAGGGAATACGTTTAAATGAAATGGAGCAAAAAAAAAAATGTATATAATTTAATCAGCCATACAAGGACGTCATGTGGTGACCACATTAGACTTTAAATAAATAGTTATAATGTTTAATAATTAATATTATAGTTTTACTTGATATGAAGCTTCCGATAAGTCCATAATAAGATGCACCTCTTTTTTAGAAATGACTTATTTTTAATTTCTCTTTCATGATTAAAAATAATTTTTCCTCTGTTATTCTTCACGCTACCGCTAACAATGATTTGCATCAATAATCTTTTAATGCATTTTGTATAAAAGTAAAATTTTAAATTTATGAAAAACTGTTAAAGAATATCCGACAGATAAAAACAATGCCATACTACTAATTCAAAAATGAAATCACGAGCAACTTAGAATTTCTTTTTAAAGTTTTATTTTTATTTAAATTGCATAAAGCAAATAATATGAACCGTTAATTATAAAATAAAGGTGTGCACTACTATTTGTGATTTAAATTATTCTATCTTAAGTAACTGAGTAAATTTCCCATGAATGCATTCAGAAAAAATGGGATGACATTTAAATGTGCTCTCGATTTTTTAAATAAATAAGAATTTAGAGAAGCAACTGATAAAAAATTACATCACAGAAGGTAGTTCGCACTTTTTAGAGACGATTTTTATAGTATAAAGGGATTATTTTGGGGAGATTTGCATCTGTTTGATGACCTTGATTCTTGGCTATAGTTCTGGAAAAGTGAATTTTTCTTAGCACCGTCATGTCAATTTTATCCCATCCCTCTTGGGTCATTTTACAAAGTCCTCCCAGTGTTCTTGGAAACCGTTTTCCTAAGGCTAGTTTTAACAAACCGAAAACCCAAACGTCGGTAGGAAAAGCATTCATTATTATTATATGATTACAGAGTATTTCATTATTTTGGATATTCTTTCTTAGCTAAATAAGCACAGTTGACTTAAATTAAAGGTTTAGTTCACATGAAGCCAAAACATGGATAGTCCACATGGAGTCCGAAACAAAAAGTCCACATGAATAGCTTTTCCAAGCTGGAATTTTTTCTTCAGAAGCTTTTTCTAAAATGTTTTGTGCACAGTGAATAATTTTAGCTTTACTTGGGACTTTTATTAATTTTAATTTACTGTTGTAATAAAACCCTGCAACTGTAATGAATCTCGCGGAGCTTTTTTGCACATTGATAAAACCATTTCATACGGTTTTTTTGTCAGTTTGTAG